CCTGGGGAGGATGCGGCCGGGGGCCTCAGGGTGGGGCGGGCGGCGGCTGCTGCAGCGCTAGCGGCGCAGGGGGTGGGCGGCGGCGGCATGAGGCGGGAGGGAGGCGCTGCCGGCGGCCCTGCCGCTCCCGCTGCAGCTGCTCGCCGTGCCCTGCCCGCGGGGCCCCGGCCGCTTTCGTCCCGGCCGTCGGCCGGGCCTCCGCTGGTGACCACTCGCCGCGCCGCCGGAGGCTTCACCCGCGCCCTCCCCCAGGACGCTCCCGCGGAGCTCCGGCCCCTTCGCCCAGTTCGCGGAGGCCGCGCTGCGCGCCGGGCGACGGCGAGGCCGGAAGATGGCCTGGGTGCTCAAGATGGACGAGGTGATCGAGTCCGGGCTGGTGCACGACTTCGACGCCAGTCTTTCGGGCATCGGGCAGGAGCTGGGCGCCGGCGCCTACAGCATGAGGTACTGGGCGCCCTGGGTCAGATGGGCGGGCGGAAGCCTTTGACCTTTCAGGAAAGGCCTGTACGACCCTGGGCCCTTGCCTGGCACGGCTGTGATCAGCTGTGTCCCAGCCTCCCCTGCCGCGTGGCCGTCGGGGCCATGGAGCCTCGCAGGCCTCTGCCCGCTTCGGAGACGGGTCTGGAAGGGCGGCCCCGCAAGCTTCGGCCCCGAAACCGCACTTGAGGGCTTCATTTTTGATGTGTTGTAAAACCGTCTGGCTGTTAGGATGGCTTAGGTTCGTGGTTGTGAAGGGGCTTCCTTTTCTTGTAAGTGATTTAGAGCCACTTACAGATGGAATACAGTGTACGACACGGCAGGACTTATGTTGGAAAAATACTCTCCAAAGACTCCATTCTAGTCTTTCCTAGTTGCAGTTTTTAATCACTTGATATTACAGTAGTAATTATATGTGAAAATAACCACAGGAGAGAGAAGCACGTTAACTTAGGGTTTTGTGGGGTTTTTTTTATTTTCTCAAAGTGAAAATTTTCATTTTGGAGACTACCCTCTTAGGCTGTTGTTCTTTTTTTTCTAAGAAGGCTTTAAGATGCAGTGATTGCACCACAAACAATAGTGTTTAGTCTCTACTGTCGGTCCCAGCAGCCATTCATTTTGTTTAATTTTGAGAAGTGGAAACAGATCTGAGTTTAGCCTCTGGCCTTTATCCTGAAAAATACTGTTTGTTAAACTGCTATCAGTTTGGCAGCTCTTTATTTCTTAGCTTTATTGAAATATAGTTTATATTCTGTAAGTTCATCTGATCAAAGTATAAAATGTGATGCTTTGGCAGCTTTTCATTGATGGGAATTAAGTGAAAATTTTCAAATGTGTTCTTTAATACCTGATGTCTTTGAAGCGCTGTCCAGTTTCCCAGGAGCTTTGCATACACCTCGCTGCAGCTTTCGGAGAGGACAGGGAGCATAAATGTCCTGAAGAAGAAAGACTTCTGGGTCAGAGCAGTCCTGGGATGGTGGGGGCTGCTCTCTGAAGTATTTGGCATTTAAATCTTAAGGGGAAACTCTGGGCTTTAAAGAATTCTCAGAAAGGTGGAGATGTTTCTTAGGATTGGAAGTGCTTGAAGGAAAGCCTTCGTTCACCAGTCTCTGACCCTGATTCGTTCTGTACTAATCTCCCTGAACTTGGCACCCCTCTCTGCAGTTGTGTAACTTGAAACGTCAGGGTTCTGGAAGAGGTGGCACTACCATTCCAAATGTTTTCTGGAACAACTGTCTCAGTAGTTGAGGAAATTGAGCTACTGAAAAGTCATAGGTTGGACCCGAATGAGAAGCGTGGAGGCGGTGATTTCCTTGTGAAGAGTCGGGCCTCAAGGGCCTTCAGACACTGGACTTCCAGTTAAGGAATAAGGGCACGTGAAGCCAAGTCAGTGTCTCTTCAGGTGCTTGTCAATCCTCAGGTATGGCAAAATGAAAGTTGGCTGCTGAGAACGTTGCTTATCGAGGGTTATTTTGCGCTTTTAGTTTCTTTTCTAGTTTTATTTGTTTTAGTGATTTGGCCAACTAATGAACTTTTTTTATGTTATATCCTGTGAAAAGGAAATAAAATCTTGTTATTAAACCTTTCCCCTGACCGTATTCTTAAAGTAATGCCTGACATCCTTGTAATTCTGTCTTTTGCAACACTTTCCATGGGGAAGTTTTTTCCACTGGATGTTTTTGGTTAGTGGTTATATAGTATGTGTCACTTAATCTAAATTTTCAAGTACCTTTGAAGGCAGGTACCATTTTTGTTTTTTTTTTAATATTTTTTTGTTATCAGTTTGTTCCTCAACATTTCTTCCTCAAAAACTAAGGAGCCCATGAGAGTACCTGCCTCTTACACATTCAAGACCCTTTATTTGGAATTCAAACTTAGAAAATTCCAAAATTGATTTGATAAGGAGAAAGTTTGAAAAAAGCTTTAGGCTGTTGCTTGGCCTCTGGTTGCACTTGTACTTGCCCCTCCTGGACCTGGAGCTCTGAGCGGCTGGTATCAAATGAGAAGTAAGGCTAATACTGATGCTTGTCTTCTCTTTGATTTGTTCTCTCAAGTTCAAGAAATAAACTTGAAGCGCTAAACTTCAAATTATTTGAAAAGTGACTTCTTGATAAAAATTTACTTTGTAGGCAGCTTTGCCCTTTTAAAGTGAAGTATGCTTACTTGTGTTTGCTTTTTGGAGGGGTTAAAGCAAGAGGGATTTTAAAGACTTCTTTTAGGAAGTGGTTTCTTCAGCTTTGGGGGTAGTAGCAACCTTGAAAGAAAGAGATGGTTTCTCTCCATAGTCTGACTTACTATATTTGTATTAAATGATATAGGTTGATAGTATTGGGATATATTGAGGCTAATTTTTGATACTATTTTTGCTTCCCTTTTTTTTTTTTTCTTTCTCCGGTTCTCATTTTGTGTGTGTGTGTGTGTGTGTGTGTGTGTGTGTGTGTTGTATCTGTACTGTGGTACCACATTTGTGTGTGAGGTAGGAGCTGCTGGAGATTCTATATGAAATGAGGCAGGGAATAAATGTTTTTTAAAACCTTAGTTACAATATCAGGATTCTAGAGATGGATAAAGGGACCTTAGAAAACTAATAGGCCAGTCCTTTTCTTATAAGCGAGTAAACCTAAGCTCATGTTGAAGTGATTGGCCCAAGTGGCCTGTCAGTGGCACTACCATTCCAAATGAAGGCTGACTTCCTACTCACTGAATGAAGGCTGAAACCCATTGTAACTTGAAATCTGGGTCATGCGTGTTTTGTGAAATAATGAGCAGATAACTAAATAACTTTAAAAAGTAAAACTCATTAAAACTTCTAACAAGGTCTTTGGGCCACCTGGTAATTTTCTTTTCCATCTTACTGTTCACATGAAATTTATAATCTGTAGCAAGTAAATTTTCAGGATTTAAAGAGTAATGAAACTTCTTTAGATTACACATAAAAACTCTGGTATTACATTATTACCTTACAAAGGACATTGGTCTGAGCCCTGCTAAACTTCACTATGGTAGAAATCTGTTTTGAAACAAAAGTTATACTTTACATATTCTGAGGTGTGAGTGTCATCCATAGTTTACAGTTAATTCACTAAATCAAAACTGCTTTGAGGTGAAGACAGATTTCCTATACTGAGTGATAGGTTAAAATGTCAGTTTATAGGCTTTGTGAGGTAATGGCAAAATTTCAGCTTTGATCAGTGTTAAGTTAGTAAAAGATTACTAAGGATATGGTTTATTGTGTAGCTATTAGTAGCAGATGATTTTCTTTTGATCTCATGCTAAAACGATGTCCTTGAGTAGGTAACATGTCTTGGAAGTATAGAAAAAAATTTTAGGGTCAGTGAAATTTGATTTCAAAGTTAAACGCTTTCTAGATTTAATCTTGGCTGAAGTATAGGTAAGAATTTACTAGATTGCTGATTAAAATCATATTGATTTCAGATTACAGTGTTCATATTGGTTTTTAAATTTATTAGTTTAAAGTATGGTTTGGCAAATCATCTCTGTAAAAACCAGACAGCAAATATTTAAGGCTTTGCAGGCCAGAGGGTCTCTGCCACTTTTTGTTTGTTTATAACCTTTTTAAAAATGTAAAAACCATTCTTACATCATGGTTGTATAAAACAAGCTGGCTGAATTTGGCCCTTGGATTTGCCTACCCCTGCTCTAAAGGACAGACTCTAATAATAGGCTTTGATTGCCTTGGAAAAAGATTTGCTGAGTATTGAAATTTATGTTCAAGAAGTAACTTTTACATAGACTCAGAACTCTCTCAGCTAATTTACATACATTCTATTGTTTGTCCATAGATTTTATTATGTTCAATTTTAAATATTAGAGTGTCTCCTCCCCTCACTAAAAGTAAGATTCAGTGCAGCTTATATATCCTTCAATCATGACTGTTTGAAACTTGGCGGTTTATTGATTATGGTCTTATAAACTTGATATGTTTCATCACAGTGACTGACACCTATCAATTTGCCACGACATGCTTAAACATTTGCTATTGGTGGAAATACCATCTGATGCCTCATCTTTGCTTTAGGTTCTGTGACTGAATTTAAAAAGAAGCTCTGTAATTATTTTGCTTGCTTTAAGACATATCTAATAGATATGAAATGGTTCTGTTGAACCTTGGTGGTAGTCTTTTTTTTTTTTTTTCAAGTTTTTTTGAAGATTGTGACAAATTGTTGTCTTGCTATCAACTGTAACAAAACTAGTTTTTATTAGCTTATTTATGTATTGGTAGTTGAATTTTCTAACTTAGAAAAAAAACTTTAAATAATTCTAGCCACAAGTTACAAAAATAGTCTAGCAAGTTGACAGAAACCCTTCACCCAGCTTCTCCTACTTCCATAACCAGAGTACAATTTTAAAGCTGGCTTGGTGCAGTACTGTTTTATGAAGTCCAAAGTTTATTTGGATTTCATAGGCTTTCATCCACTGTCCTTTTTCTAATCTAGGTTTCAATCTAGTGTGCTGTGTTGTATTTAGATTTTGTCTCCTTCACTGGCAGTTCCTTAGTCTTTGCTTCTCTTTTATGACTTTGACAACCTTGATATGTCGTGGTCAAAACTGTTGTTTCTAAACATGAAAATTTTGGAAGCAAAGATAAAATATATCTGTGAATACTGTTTAGCTTTTAAAAGATCCCTGTCGTTTTAGCAGAATGACTTTGGGTAGAGTAGGACCTCTGTTGGTGTCATTCACTTATCGATTACTTTGTCTCAATCTATCTGAATAGAATAGTGTGTTATGCGTTTTGTAGTCCCTTCATAATCAAATTTAAATATTTATTTAAAGTAACAATTACAAGCCATCATATATTATCATAAATATTTTTCATTAACTATTTTCCAGAACAAAACCGTTAGAAGAGTGGCATTGTCTTACGCTTTTTGCATATTTTTTCATTTCTGGCTTAGAAAGACAAATGGATCCTCTTATCTACTATTGGAATATATTGTTTGGGTTGGCATGTATGAAGAAAATCCAGCTTCACATAGATATGTGTGGAAAAAGGAAGATTATTTTATTAGCTCTTTTAAATTTTGGATATTCTTCTTTGATAGTATACCAGCACTTGACAAGTGGTAGTTTCTTAAAATTGAGATGTGGAATCTGAAACTGTATCATTGTACTTTTTGTACTGTTATATTAGAAGCAATTGGTCTCTCTTGTACTTTGAATGGATCTCTTACTCTGCATAATTTTGAAATATGCATACATTGTTCATTGGGAAAACAACAGTTTCCAGAGTTATGCAGATCTTGTAAATGTTGACACTTTTCACTATGCAGTATCAAAAAATCACATTCCTTAATATCACCACTATCAAAAAATTGCATTCCTTAATATTGCCACCATCTCATTAGAGAAAGCACATGGAGGATTCAGATTTTATCGTTGGCCACAAATCCTATCACAGTTGTAAACAGTGGGTTAACTTTACTCATTCTTTAGGAAGTTTCTATCAAATACCCAGGTCTGAATAATCATAGTTTGTCAGTTTTTCTTTCAAGAAAAAATTACATTCTGCAAGAGAGACTGCTAGGTCAGCTAAAAGCTGCATAAAAAGTCTTCTTTCAGACAATCATATCCTTAGGTATGTAACAGGAATATATAATAAAATTAATTTTTATACAATGACTATTAGTACAGTTTGGTGCCATTGCCTTGATTCATGGCAAGGCACCGACAGTTTTAACCACCATTGATTTTGTGCTATGAGTGCAAATGTCAACAAAGTAAAAAAGGCAAATGTTTTAGTAGTAGTCCGAAAATATGTTTGACTTCCTGAACCCTCTTGAAAGAGTCACAGAGGTTCCCCAGGATTCCAGGGACCACACTTAGAGACTCTCTGATCTAATGTGTGCCTAGAGTTTAGATACTTAAAATATTTTCTTCTAAATTAAAAACAAACCCATTATTAGAGCTCAGAGAAGTTAAGTAGCCTGTCATAGTGTCACTCGACAAATGGCAGAGCTGGAATTTAAGCTCCAGAGCTGGTTTGACCCCCGCTTCTTCCCACTGCACCCTTTGACTACCTACTTAATTAATAATTGAGGAGTCTTCTCAAGGTACTAGAGTATGATGTTTCTGGATGGGAAGAAAATCAGTTAAGAATGCTTTTTTTTTGGGGGGGGGTCTTGTATCTTGCTGTTTTTTTTCCCCTCCAAGATCTGAATGTGACTCTAGAAAAGCATTTATTTGGTCTCACTTCAAGTTCAAACCTCAGCTCTCAAATGCATCCTTTTGGCTGCTCACTAGTTTCGCCAGTATCTATTGTTTCCTCCACCCCTCCTAGAGGGGAGTCAATGACTCCTTTTCAGACCCGAACTCCTCCCCATGCCTCCTTTCAACTGATTCCCTTACTTGGTCCTTAGAAAATTGAACATTCACGCATTGTACTAGCTTATAAGTTTTTTTTATGTATTTGGGTGTGGATTTCTTTATATTTATCCTACTTTGGTTATTTGGGCTTCTTGAATCAGTGAATTGGTGTATTTCATTAGTTCTGGAATTTACTTATGGTTCAACCTAGTAGAAATTGCAATCTTTAATTATCTGATACTTCACTTTCCATTTTAGTAATAACTGATTATTGATCCATCATCTGATGAATGAATAAACAGAATGTGGCATATCCATACAATGGAATATCATTCAACTATAAAAAGGAATGACGTACTGATACATGCTACAACATGGGTGGACCTTGGAAAGCATACTAAGGAAAAGAAGCCAGTCACAAAAGGCCACATGATTCTATTTGCATTAAATGTCTAAAATAGGCAAATCTATAGAGACACAGTAGATCAGTGGTTGCCAGGGGCTAGGGGTAGGGTAGGGGGGTAGGGATAGGGAGTGACTGCTAATGGGTACAAGATTTCTTTTTGAGGGTGAATTTTATGGTATGTAAATTAAATCTCAGCTGTTTTTTGTTTGTTTGTTTGTTTTAAGCAAACCAAACACATCCATGTGTGTTTAACTTCCCAGGTTAACAGAATATAGACAGTGCCCCAGAAGATCCCTCCATCCCCCTCCCAATCAATGCCCCATGTTATTCTTGGGAGAAAAAATAGCAGCTGTTTCTAACTGCTACTGTTTGCTTCTCAGAAGAAGCCATTGTTTTAGACTAAACATGAAGCTTTACGCTCTCAGCACTTGCCAGGCCTAGCAGGAAACTTTTTGTAAAGTACCATTTTAATCAAATGCTTCTTTGTGATTTCATGGTGCCAATGTGACCTACCTTTGGTAGCAGTAATAGTTCCTGCGTTTCAAAACAAGTAGCTACACACTCTTGACTTGCTCTTTTTTATATAGAAACAATACAGAATATAAAATTTGTAAAGAATTTTTCGAAGTAACTTTTTTTAAAAGTATCATATGTGTTAGCTTGACCTTTTTACCTGTAGCATGGACTTTATTAACTATTAAATACTTACCTACATAATTATAGCTGCCCCTGTTCCCCCCCCCACACACCGAGATATGGGTTATTAATACTGTTTTGGGGGAGCCAGATTAGCATTAAAGTTATTTTATTCTGCATATAATTTCTGATCTTCAAATTTAAAAGAAACTACCCCTAAATGTTTTTATATGCTTTTAAATATTTTAAACCCAAAGTAAGGTCAGTGTTTGTTGATTTATTTATTTATTTATTTTTGCTTTTCAGTGATGTCTTAGCATTGCCCATTTTCAAGCAGGAAGATTCCAGCCTTCCATTGGATGATGAAACAAAGCACCCGCCCTTTCAGTATGTAATGTGTGCTGCAACGTCTCCAGCAGTAAAACTGCATGACGAAACGCTCACTTACTTGAACCAAGGTTAGTATGGCTATGTCATATTTTTATGGAAGAATTTACAAAAATCCTAAATGGATGTTTTGACATTACAGCCTAGATTACTGGCAATGATTTCAAATTAGATTCTTTTTTTAAGTTTTATGACTTCGGTTAACAAAAATTGTAGGAATTTTACTGTGCGCCAACAAAGGAAGAGTTTGTGGGAACCGATTTGCATAAAGAGGGTCTGTGGAACAAGATTTATTACAGGGTTTTTCAGACAGAATCCAAAGGATGTGCAAGTAGGAAAGGATGTCAATTATTTTTAGGAACAGTGGTTTCAATATGGAACTTGAGAATGAGTCAGAAGTCCAGCTAGCAAGGAACCTGGGTCTCAGGCACGAAGCAGATTTGTGCTGAAAATAGACACAAGCTATAGCAAGACGGAGGCTGTGATTACAGTCAGTCGTGTCATATTTTGTCTGCCATTCTCTTGTTTATACTTTATGAGAATATTATATTTTGGTGATAGGAAAGTGAGAGTGGGCATAATGGAAAATACAGATGTTGGGGGTAGAATTTACCATCGGCAGTATAAGGGATTTATTTTCAGGTGCTGTTAGCAGTTTGGGCACAGGCCAGTGGAACTTACCAGTGTAAACAAAAGTACTTTGTTATGCAGGTATTAATTTGTTGGATACATATACTGAAAGCGTATTGAATTCTTATTTTTTAAAAAATTTGAACATCTAGTTGTTATAAAAATAGTACATACTCACTGTAGAAAAATTGGGAAATGTGTCAAATTGACTGCAATTCCATACCACCAGTTAACTAGTTAACATTTAGGTATATTTCCTTGTGTGTGTATATCTATTGTATTTTTTAAAAAATTAGAATTAGCATCTATTCACTTAAGAGTATATTGTGATTATTTTTCTGTCATTAACTGGAATCTTTAATTACTTGAACTTTTGGAAAGAACCACCGATTTTAGATTATTTACTTATGATTAACATTCAGAAATGTGAAAGAATAATTTATTTCTAACTTTTCATATATAAGTTTAGGATCTGTGAGGTGATACTTCAGGTAATTCTATCTGCAGCACCTATGGCAATACCTAACTTTGTTATGAATGTTGATTTAAATAGTATTTGTTTGGGTAGACGTTCAGTTATTTGAGACATAAGTTTCATACTTGAAAGAACCTTAATAGTTTGTATGGTAATCTGTTTTAGACATAAAAACACCAGAAGAAACAATGTAGGGGTAAGGATAGTCGCTGTAGCTTTATTTCTAATGACAAAAAAGGAAATAACCTGAATTTTCTTACTCTGGGAATGGTTCAGTAAGTTCTATTATATGCATATCATGGGATGAGTGAGTGTGCACACACACACACACACACACACACACACACCCTGTTTAAAGGAACATGTTGGGTGTATATATCTTTTGGCCTGGGGAAAATACCCATAGTTTATCACTATTGTTATTATTAAGCCAGATAAAGATAGTTCATATAGATAAAAGTTGCATTCCACCATCTATAGTGATGATTTATTAGACTGACATTCTCTGAGTGCTTAGTGTGTATGAAGCATTGTACTAAATACTTTATATATGTTATTTATTCCCACAGTAACCCCAGGAAAAGTTTTATTAATCCATTTTACAGATTTAAAAACTGAAACTTAGAGCAGTTGATTAACTTACTCAGTGTCAATTTAGTTAAAGTTAAGGTTAGATTTTTTTTTTAATTAATGAAGTATATACATTAGTGTGCACAAGTGTAAAGTGTACAGCTCAATGAATTTTTACATATATTATTCTCTTGAAACCACTACTTATGTCTAATATTTTCAGCACCCCAGGAGGCTCTCTGTGTCCCCCTTCCAGGTGATAATCTGGCTTGACATTATCAATATAATAAATGCAGGTGATTTTCTTGCTCTTGACTCTGCTCAGTGCAGTATTAAGGATGAGTATTTTCTTGGTTGTAGAATTGTGTTCATTTATATCTTAATTTCTTCCATTCTTTTAAGAAGAAAAGTGGGTAAGTGAACTGCATATGTAGACATATTTTTTTAAATGTATTTCAATAATTAGTAAAAATACATTCAAGTAATCATGAAGGAATTCTACTTTTACATACCTTTTAAAAAGAAATTACAATACCTTTATTATGCTTACATGAGTATTAAATACACATATTACAATGTGTATATATACAGTTCTTTCACAGACTTGTCTCCTAGCATTTATCACTTTGACAAAAGATTCTGAATCCAAGATTTTTCATGAATTCCTTAAAATTGTTTTCAGATTTTTTTATAAATATAATTTTCTAAAGAGAGGCTCCATAGCTGTTTCTAGATTCAGTCAAGGTCGAGATGCTGCTGAGTATCTTTCACCCCACCTCTTTTAAACCGAAGCAAAAAGGTCCAGGCTTAGCAGAATATCTTCAGTTGTACATATTCAGTTTTGATTATTTTACAGAAGCCTTTTCTGCAATGTAATGTAAAGAGAATCAGTTATACATATGCAAAATAATAATTAGACTTGATTAATTTTATCCAGGAATTCCGATAAAATCCCATGAATATTTTTTAGCTGAGTGACATTTCCATGGAAAGTTGGCACCATTTTAGTAACATCTATGGATCAGCTTTGATGGTGGGATGTTAAGTATTGATACAATTTCCTGTTTACTCTTTCTATTTTTAGGAATCAGATTGTTAGTCAATAGTTTTACTGCCCATGAATCAGTTTTCCTATATTCAAATGAACTCTTCAGCTCCATCAAGGAAAACGACTTAAAATGGCAATATTGCTTTGTTTGTCAAAAAAGGATACCTTAACTTTATAAGAAGGGATTAGATAGGGTACTTGCAGTTTTCCTCCATATACTCAAATTTCATTCCTTTTAAGCTTCCACATGTGAGTTTATCTGCATTATTCTAATAAATGAGAGGGAAATGAAATAGTCACTTTTTTTTCCTACTGCAGTCATGCACTACAGTTGATGTATTGGTCAACTGGACTGCATATACGGTGGTGGTCCCGTAAAGTTATAATGGAGTTGAATTCCTATCATCTAGTGACCTCGTAGCTGTCATAACGTTGTAGTGCAGCACATCACTCACATGTTTGTGGTGATGCTGGTGTAAACAAATCTGTTGCACTGCCAGTCCTATAAAAATATAGCACAATTAGGTACAAAACAAATGACTGTTAATGGTTGATGTATTTCCTGTACTATTTATCATTATTTTAGATTACAGTGTTTTTATTTATTTAAAAAAAAAAAAAAAAGGTTTGCTGTAAAATGTATGCTGTGTTGCCCTGGCAGCAACCTCATAACATCTTGTGCTTACTGTGTCTCTAGATTGCACCGGTTTTTCTTTTGCTGATTTAATCTTGTGTGGTTTTGTTCATCATGGCTCCTAAGTGTACAAAACCAACTGCTAATGTTGCCAGTAAAGGACCATGTCAAGTGACCATGGCCTAGAAACAAAATTAAAAGTGATTAATGGCTATGGAGGTAGAAAAATCAGTGATGGTTATTGCTCGCTAGTTGGGCATATCTCATTCACCAAAGCTACCATCTTGAAGAACAAAAACAAAGTGACAGAAGCTGTTAAAGGATCTGCTTCATTGACAGCAACAAGATTAACAAAAATTGGAGAAGGGCCTACATCAGACATGGAGAAATTTCTAATGACTGGCACAGAAGTATATCCCTCTCAGCACCATGGCAGTCACGGCCAAAGGAAAAAGTTTATGTGTGATGTTGAAAGAAAAGGCTGGACCTGACTATGATGTTGAATTTATTGCTAGCTCTGGGTAGTTTAAATGATTTAAGAATCACCACTCATTACATATTGTGAAAGTGAGGTTGAGTCTGTGAATCCTGATGTGAAGGCAGATGAAGAATTTTTGGAAACTATGTAAGCTGATTGTGGAGGAAAATTACTTGCCAGAGCAAATATTTAATGGATGAAACCTTCGTATTCTGGAAATGGATGCCTGAAAGAACTTTCATCTATAAGGAGGCCAAGTCAATGTGCCAAGTTTCAAGGCTTTTAAGGATGGGATAACAGCCTTGCTTGAGGCAGTGATGCAGATTACAAACTGAAACCCTCTGTGACCTGGCACAGTGAGAACCCAGGGCCTTCAAATGTATCCGTAAGCACACACTGCCAGTGTACTAGAGGAGCAATGAGAAGTCATGGATGACCCAGCTCCTCCTCCAAGATGCCCTCCTGAATTGCTGTGCCAGTGAAATGGAGAAGTATCATTTGGAGAAATACTTTCAGGATTTTGTTTATTGTTGATAATGCTCCCAGACATTCACCTTTTGGTTATCTTCATCCCAATATCAAAGTGGTATTTCTCCCTCTAAACACCAGCTCTTTGATCCAAACAATGAATCAAGGAGTGTAGCCGCTTTTAACACCTACTACTTGAAGAGGACATTTGTCCAGGCTATTGCTGCAACTGAGGAAGATACTGATGCAATTCTGGAAGGATTACAAATCTATGACTGCCTCAGGAACCTTGCTTGGGGTGATGTCACCAAGGAGTGTATGAATGGCATCTGGAAGAAGACACTCAAGAAGTTTGTCCATGACTTCAAAGAATTTGCCAAGGGTAAGGAGGTTGCAAAAATCAAAGCTGTTGAGATAGCAAACAACTTGAACTTGGGTGTGGATGAGGATGACACTGAGAACCTTCTAGAGGGGGTTCCTGAGGAGCTGACTAATGAGGAGGTGTTGGAACTGGAGCAGGAACTCATGGCCAAAGAAGAGTCAAGAGAAAAGGAAACTGCAGGAGAAGAAACCAAGAAAATTCACAGTGAAGGGTTTTAGCAGAAGCTTTTGCAGACCTCAGCAGACTGCTTTAAAAGTTTGAAAATATGGACCCAACAGCGAAAGGTTTTCATTAATAGGACTGTTCATGGTGCATTATCTGTTTACAAGCAAATCTGTGGTGAAAGAGAAACAAATCAAGCAGACCACCATGGATATATTTCTGAA